TGTGATTCAAACGCAAAAAGCACTGAGTTGAAACAAAACTGAAAAAAAAACTGAAATGCAAAGCACAGACAAATTGATTGTGAAATGATGATTGTGAAGAGGCAAATTTTATCCAATGCAAAATTACAGAAATTTTGTGACACTTAATGAGTTTTAGCTTAATTGTAGGCAATGTGGCTTGAAAACGGGGAAAGTTAATGAGAATTCAGGCGTAATTTTTCAGTTATTATGTTTGTTTTCTTTATTCTTTTTCAGCGATCGGAATGTATTTCTTGTCGAAGGTACGTCATGAGTTGCATTATATGTTCGCGATAATGAGTTTATCGCATCTACTTTATCTGTTCTCGTTCGTTGCATGCGTTAAACGTCTATCGAAATCACTGACGGCAATAATGCTCATTTATTTGTCAATAATAATTTATCATTATCTCGCCGATTTGTTCCGCTCAATACCGATCACGATCGCCACCTTAACGATGCATCTAGTTGTTGTGTCCATCTCGCTGATCGCCGCTGGCTCTGTATGGCAATACGGTTCCGACGACGCTCAGCAGGCATGTTTTTAGATGATCGTTTTTAAAAACAACACCAAGTTGATTACATTACTTCCCAATTGATCTTCCAGTACACGTTCAACTGAGCATTATTGAGTTCAATATTGACATCTGATTATTTCGTTTCGATTCCGTTTCAAGAGATTTGTTCATTGATTAAAGGCATCTCGTATAAGATCGTGGAACATCACGCAAGATTTAGACTAATAATCATTCAGACGCCCATTACTAGTCACCTTATCGTTTGAGTGAGCAGTCGAAATGGGCAGGTGTTTGTTATCAAGTGAAACTGATCACTCAGTTTACTAGTTCATTCAAAAAGTCGTTATCAATCGAACTTTTTTATCGATGCAGAGCGCATGTCGTCATCTTCCGAACGAGTTCACTTCAGTTTTACAACAGAATAAATTGTCGAGGAACATATCGAGATGCATCGACAAAAATAAACGAATTTTGTGCTAAGATACTTTAATACGTGAATGAATCAATCAAAACACATAAATGCCCTTAAAGTGACAGCTTTAATCACTTAAAAGATTGATCATTTTGAATGATGTCAGTGAAAATTAATGAGAGCACGTATGTTTCGCAATCTATCGCGAACATTCTCTGAATGTTTTATTTTTATACGAAAGCTTCTGAGCGTTCTCTGGAATCTGTAAGAAGTATTGCAATAAACAAAAAAAGCCGCAAATAAAAACCCAAAAATTTCAACTAATCACTTAAGTTTTCGTGAGTTGTTAGCGAATTAAAGTGACGTTTTCAAACTATGATAGAAACAGCCTTTCAAAGCATATTTTTATGTTTTTCAGAATATATTTTTTGCAAAGCATACTGTTC